TGGTCAGTGTTCGGGTGGGGGACCACTTGGATCAGTTTAGGAAAGGACTGAGGGTGTGCGGTATGGGTCCTTGTTAAACCACCCTAAAGTGCTCGATTTCGCATGCAGATCGTCGGACTACCGAAGGAGGGGTGTCATACCCTCTGCAGAGGATCAAAATTGTGATGGCATGTCTCTGGATCATCCTCAGGGATGCTTCCCAGACCGTCGCCAGTAGTCCGACGTAAATCAACTACAATTACAACTCAAGCATTTTGGTAAACAGTGAAGATCGGACCATCTGCCTTAAAGAAACTTGTCAAACAAACGAACAATTTTAAGATGATTCAGATAAATCCATTAAAAGTGAATCGAATTTAAATCATTATTCAAACAGAAACAGAATTTAGACATCGATAAAATCTAATATCTATATTTAATGCAATATGAACAAAAACTAACTTATGTCTTCTCCCCTTATAAAAAAAATCAATGCACTACAAGATGTCTCGCTTTCGTTAAGTCTAGTTTCGTTATAGAACTCGCCAATTGTTTGTCATTGATGTCCACTTCTTTACATTAATTATTATGATAATAAATGAATTCTTCATGAGCAAACAGTTAACCTTGCAATGTCGAAAAATGCAAGTAATCTATTATAATAAGCCATTCATTTGACTATAAAAACAATTTGAACTGATTTTCGATCTATGATGTAAAGAATTTTTTTTTAAATCTTTATTTATAGCCGAAATCTCGAACCGAAATTCTCATGTTTATTATCATATAGCATTCACCTGTCCAAACCGTCATTATATTTGTTTTAATTTTATTTATTGCAATTTTTGTATTTAATTTATTCAATTTTTCTGAGTGAGCTGTATAATTTTAAGTAATTTGCATGAGTTCTATTAACATTTTAACTAAATATTTCTTTTCGATGTATCTACAGTGAAGAAAACTAATATTAGCTAATTAGGTTTTAATTAGGTCAATTGTCTGCAGATGAAATAAAGAATTGACTGAAGAAGTTTGCCATCTAAGAATTTTTTAAAGAAATTTTTTCTTTAAGTGAATAAAGAAATATCCTCTAGAGAAATTATTTCTTAGAGGCCAAATTTTTATTTCTTCATCCATGTTTTATATGACATAAACACCATTGAAATATAAGAAAGGCTACAATAAATTTTTAAAAAAAAGTCTGTTTCAGAAGAATGTTTTGCTTAAATGAAAATGCATTTTTTACAGAGATTGCAGTAAGGAATCCAAAATCCAGGTTGTTAAGAGTATTTTTCCTTATAAGAAATAAAAAAACGCGCAATCTATCCAATTTTGATCCAAATTTATGATTTAAACCATAAATTTACGCTTTTTAATTTTTTTGATAATGAATATGCTTACATAAAATTCACCTATTACTAATCTGTATTTTTCTCTGTAAATACTTATAACCTTTAAATTAGCAACTATTTTCTCTAAAACACATGCCGTAGAAAAATGTAATAAGAATTTTCCAAAATATTATGAAGTCATTTAACGTAATCCAGTGAAAGTGTTTTACGTAATAATTTGTTGGTTAACGTGGCAAAAGTAAGAAAAGTAATGGCTAAAGTAAGGCGTGGCAAAAGTAATGTCTGAAAGACATTAAGCAATTATTTTTCTTGTTTTTTTGTTTGAAACTCTGAAATTACTAGTAAACATTTAATTAAAAAACAATTAATAAAAAAATAATTCATTAAAAATACATTAATTAAAAATAATTAATTAAAAGTTAATTAATATAATCTTATTTTATTCTATATTGGAAATCTTCGTGTGTGCACGCGTGCACACGCAAAGATTATTTCCATATTTGTTACAATTATAGGTGCTGCAATAAAAATAGAAACGCTACAATGCATTATAGGCAATGAAACTGAAATTAATCTAAAAGCAAAGTCTTCAGATAATGCGCCATGCACGCACAATGAACCAGAAAAATATTATGATACAACTGTTCAAAACACCTATTTCAAAATTAGTTAATTGTAAAAATTTCAAAAATACAATACTGTGTGATACTCACTTCCGGGGACTATACAATGTATCTATGACATTACATTTTGGTCGAATTTTCCCATCAAATATGTTTATATTACTGTGGAACACCGAAAGGGGTTGCTGTTGACTTCCACCGGTGAATATTGAGTTAAGTGCCCTTGCCCGGTATGCCCTACAACAATGTTTTTCTAAGGTCAAGAGCCACTAATGCATGTAACCGGTTCTCCGAACAGCGATGTTTATCCGTATCTATCCTCAGCACATATTAAAATATCGAATAAATATAATAGTATCAACGAAAAAATTAATAGCAAATCGACTGCAACGAATAATTCGGACATTCGCAAAGCGACTATGTGAGTGTTGACTTTCACTCACCAGTGAAAGTAGACATTCGCTTAATTTCGGTGTATATATATATATATATATATATATATACACCGAAATTAAGCGAATGTCTACTTTCACTGGTGAGTGAAAGTCAACACTCACATAGTCGCTTTGCGAATGTCCGAATTATTCGTTGCAGTCGATTTGCTATTAATTTTTTCGTTGATACTATTATATTTATTCGATATTTTAATATGTGCTGAGGATAGATACGGATAAACATCGCTGTTCGGAGAACCGGTTACATGCATTAGTGGCTCTTGACCTTAGAAAAACATTGTTGTAGGGCATACCGGGCAAGGGCACTTAACTCAATATTCACCGGTGGAAGTCAACAGCAACCCCTTTCGGTGTTCCACAGTAATATAAACATATTTGATGGGAAAATTCGACCAAAATGTAATGTCATAGATACATTGTATAGTCCCCGGAAGTGAGTATCACACAGTATTGTATTTTTGAAATTTTTACAATTAACTAATTTTGAAATAGGTGTTTTGAACAGTTGTATCATAATATTTTTCTGGTTCATTGTGCGTGCATGGCGCATTATCTGAAGACTTTGCTTTTAGATTAATTTCAGTTTCATTGCCTATAATGCATTGTAGCATTTCTATTTTTATTGCAGCACCTATAATTGTAACAAATATGGAAATAATCTTTGCGTGTGCACGCGTGCACACACGAAGATTTCCAATATAGAATAAAATAAGATTATATTAATTAACTTTTAATTAATTATTTTTAATTAATGTATTTTTAATGAATTATTTTTTTATTAATTGTTTTTTAATTAAATGTTTACTAGTAATTTCAGAGTTTCAAACAAAAAAACAAGAAAAATAATTGCTTAATGTCTTTCAGACATTACTTTTGCCACGCCTTACTTTAGCCATTACTTTTCTTANTAAATTTATATATATATTCCATGTGCAAATCCATTTCGGACAAATCTGTGGTTAAAATTATGAGGAAAACAGGCAATTCATGTTTCTTTCTCTTTTCTATTTTGTAAATATATTTTTTTCTTAAATAAGCATTTATTCTGTAAAATTATTTACTGTCAACTTCTTTAAATTATCCAGTATTATATTACCTTAAGCACATCCATTTTCGGGCCCATCCTTGGTAACTAACAAATCAAACGCTGCAAGAATGCACTTCAATACAAAACTTCCCTAGTTACGCTTTTAGCTCAATTTACGCTTTTGTTTTCAATTTTTGCAATCTGGCAATCTCGTTGCGACCCGTTCATGTAAGTTCATTTGAATTCGCTGCTCGCTTTATAGACTTCATTTCATGCTATATTCTGTTTTTTCTTTATATTTTATTTTCTGTTTTTTGTTTCTGCGTGATATTTTTACTTATTGTGTTCTATTTTATTTATTCGTTGTAATTTTTTTGTAAAATTTTTTGAGTGCTTCTCACACTATTGTATTGATATATTTTGCTTTGGTTATGTTGATGCAATATTAGAAAGCACTCTTTTTTTGCGGATACAATCGTGTGAGCTGATGAAAAGATCATATCTTTTATTTTCCGGATTTTTTAAAAATTTTTTTTCCTGGTTTTTTGCTATTTTTGATTTTATTATTATTTTTTCCCCTTTTTTCATTGTTCTGTAATTTTTTCCTTGTTTTCTGTACATTTTGAACTTATAATAAATAAAACTTATTGTTTTTCTTAATTTTGTTCGTGTCTTTTTGTTTCCATTTATTATGCTATATATATATATATATATACAAACACACACACAATAGTACACGATACTACGATACTGTTCAAGAATTTATAATTGTAAGAAAACTTAAGAACAAATGAGTAAAGTGGCTAAAAATGTAGAAGTAAAATGACTTTTTTTTTTACAGGTGATGTTACAAAAGACGACTTTAATTGTGCAGAGCATTAACTGTATCTATCAAGTCGTAAATAATATAAGCCGAGTCGTCGTTTTTCAAAACAGTTCTGACATTTGTTAAGAAAGACACTAAATTCAGTAAGGAAGCTTTCAATTAATATACTATAGGGCTTTAGCCATGAATGGATTGCGATTAAAGTAAGTTATATTTTTTTATGTGAATTGGTTTGCAAATTTTACAAGTATTTTTAAAATCGTTTTAAAAATCTACAACAGGTGAGTTTTGTAACGTTCGCAATCTAAATAGTTATATACCGCTGCCGAAATGAAAAAGTTCAACACGTTTAAAGAATGAAAAACGGTAGCATTCCATTTTTTTTTTCATTTTATGTAAATATTAGGAGATGATCCCCTTCTTTTACTGCCGCTTACAAATCTCTGCCATGCTTTTCAATCATTAAACACATTTATAAATAAAAAATTATTGATCTCAAAAACTTTTATTCTTTGAGCTATGATTTTATTCCACACATTTTGTTTCCAGTTTTGCTGGAATAGAATTTTTATAATTGGGTTTTAATTGCAATTTTAATTTTCGCTTTCTCACTCTGGTTGAACGTAGAAGTGACGACGCGCATGCGCTCTGCTAAAAACAAAAAAGAACTGAATTTTAATAGTCAGTCGATTATTAGAATTTCATGTAGCTGTTGAGCTTTTAAATTGAAATGTAAACACTTTCTTTTCTTCTATTAAATACTTTAAATATTCTTAGATTTGACTGTTGAATTACAATTGTTTGATGACTTTTGATAGAATTTTTAGCATTACTTTGATCACTTCTTAATAAAATTTCTAGAATTAGATTATATAGATGAACCACCGTTAGCACTAGAGAGAAAAGTGGTTTTTAAAAAATCAAAATTTGATGAAACTTGAAGGTATTTCAACTACTCAACATTAACTTTTTTTTTCTCTGGCAACCAAAGAAGCTAATTGTTTGAATATATTTTTTCTTTTAAGTTATTGTATTAAAATAATTTTTAATGTATGATTTTTAATGTTTTCTTTTGAGTTATTATATTAAAATAATTTTTAATGCTTTCTTTTGAAATATTATATTAAAATAATTTTCAATGTTTTCTTTTGAGTTATTGTATTAAAATAATTTTTAATGTATGACATTTAATGTTTTCTTTTGAGTTATTATATTAAAATAATTTTTAATGTTTTCTTTTGAGTTATTATTTTAAAATAATTTTTAATAATTTCCTTTCAGTGAACATGGAATAAATCTCCTTTTTTGAAAGGGTTGTTTTTTTAAGGTATTTTTATTTCAACCTGGTATAATAACTTATTTTTTACCCAATTTTCTTAAATTTTTTACAGAAAAATGGGCTACACTTATTCTTGAAAGAAGGTCAACTTGAATGATGAAGAAGTATGGGCTAGATAGCAGGCAAAGCTGGCTGGTAGTGCTCGCCAGCTGCGTGGTCAAGTTCATGACATACGGTCCGACAGAGATAGCAGGAATGTTGATGGTCTACACCATGCACACTTTCAACACCACACGAGAAGCGGCATCTTTACCTTACACACTGGTCTACGTCATTAGAAACGGTGCAGGTAATATTAAATATATGGTATTCTACAATTACTGCCCTTAACATTTACCATTTAATATAAATTTTCAGATTCCTTATAAAAATGAAGACAAAAAAATTATACATTACCTTGCTTATATATTGTGTGGTAAGGTCGCAAATTTACGTATAACTAAGGAAAAAATAGAAGCATTATCGTGATCTAACGAATTACTGCAGATGAAAGTAAGTGCATATGACATCAAAGCCTGTTTGATAACTTGTTGAAGTTTACAAGTGTTTCTAATAGTCATCTTTCAGCTCATCTCTGTTTCTACCTGCAAAAAAGCAGGTTTTGATGCTAATTACTAGCTTTCCTCAATATAGGCCTGACAGATTTCAATAGCGTTGTAACGTCAAGATAAAAAAAAAAAAAAGAAAAAAGAAGAAGAAAAAAAAACACAATAAAAAAGTAAAAAGAAAAAAAAATTTAAAAAAAGACAAAATATTATTAAGCACTTCTTACAAATAATTAAAAACCATGTACTTGCAGCTGATGCGCAGTTGTTAATACTTAAATAAATCTTAAAAGCTGATATTTTCTCTGAAGTTTTCTTTTTTACTAATTCTATTATTATTGTTGTTTAAGCGTATTACAATAAATATAAATTATTAAGAAATGGAAAAGGAATTGATCAATAACCCTAAATTTGCTTAGGCTATTGCGAGAAATTTTTGAAAGGCTATTTATAATTAGCTTTTAGTATTTTAGGATTGCTGCAAACTGAATGAGATAAATCAGGCTAACTGAGAAGTAAATGAGAAAATTGATTATATAAGCACTTTACTTGTTTAAGAAATTATATAGACGAAAAATATTGACAAGTCACTAGCTATAAGAATAGATGCTCATTTTTAAAACTCGCCAAACGTCAATGAGGAAAACAAAACAGACGTTAAAAGAAACTAATTGTTGCTCTCGAAATTGTAGAGCCATAATCTCCATGATCCCTTTTAGCCAATAACTGTTATTTCTAAGAGTTATTTTCTTAGCAATTTGATATTTTTCTCATAAAGGCGGAATTTCATTAAGCATGGTTTCTTGTGTTTTTTTTTAAATAATATTTCTGAATAAACATGTTGTAATGAATCATGCTTAATAAAAATTCATAACATCATTGTAATAATTAACTTGAATTTTCAATTTTTAAAAATGATAAAAATATTTTATTGTTATCGGAAAAAAAACCTGTTTTGAAATATTTTCGAAAATATTAATTGGCAAGGATTACGCAGCCGTTTTGTTTCGTAATTCATTGAATTTATAAATTCTTATTTTCGGTACCAAGTTAAAATTCTGAATTTTAAATACAAACGTAAGGGTGTGTCTTGTTTAAAAAAATGTTTTTCAAACATTACAATAATTACAGGGTGTTTCATAATGACCACCCTTAATGTGCATCGTTAAAATCCTTGTCAAAAGAATCGCTCAAATCGGAGTTTGCATTCATAAAGCTTAATAATATAGAAAATCATAATGAATGTTACCAATAAAAAAATAAAAACAGTATCAAATTCTGAGAAATCACTATTGAGGGAAACTTGCGCACCTCTTTGATTGCTTACTTTAACGGGGATATGTTTTTAATTATCGTCTCTGAACATTGTTTGAATAAAGCTGTATGCTTGATGATGAGCTGGGAGCTTGATGATGTCTATTGCATTAAGAGTACAAAGACTAAAATGGGCAGGACATTCAATTAGAATCAGACCGAAACTGTAATAAAATATTTTTATCCAAACCTATGGGAACAAGACGAAGAGGAAGACCATGCCTAAGGTGAATCGACAGTGCTGCGATGGACATCAACACTTTGAAAATCAAAAACTGGAGGACAGTCGTGAAATAGAGAAACAGTTGAAGGAAACTAATACAGAAGGCCAGGGCCCACCCAGGGTTGTAATGCCAGTGAAGGAAAAGAAGATTAAACAAACAGTGATCATTCACGTAACCAGCTGTGTCAAAGTTCATAGTAGCGTTCCACAGAACCCAGGTTGAAGATCTCTATTCTATGGTAAGTATTTATTCTCTTGATTATCCCTCTGAATGCGTCGGTCAAATATCAAGTGAAATTAGTACTACTTCACTTAGTACTCGCTTTACTTCGCTTTAGTACTTCGCTTAGTTAATTTCAGTACTAAACTCAAAAGGCTAAGTAACGTGGCGTCAAAACCGCAGCTGGAAGTCAGTTTTTATCACTGTTATAGAATCTTTAATAAGAGAATTGACAAAAACTGTTAGAATAAGTACAGCATACGATACAAAAAAGTAAAAGATGTAGCTTTGATAATTTAGGTTTCCATTTGAAATCATGTTTGATTAAATTATTATTATTTTTTTTTTTACATTTAGGACCCATTATTGCCTACATAGGCAACATTATAGGCCTTCGATCGACAACCCTCATTGGCTGTGTTTTGTCTTCTATAGCAATCGGTGCTTGTTTCTTTGCTGAAAATGTTATAATAGTGACTATACTATGGGGAATAGTTTTCGGTAAGTACTGAATTCGTTTCTGTTCTGATTATTGGTTTTATGTTTGAGTCATATAAAGCAATCGTATAAAAGGTTGCTGAAAAAGTGCTCTTGAGTGCTTAATAACACTTCATAATAATTCTTATAATTTAAATAATATAACTGAATTAACACTAGAAAGACTGAAACTTAGTAATATACCTATATTGCCCAAAAGCAGTCAAAATGGCTGGATTGTGAAAAAATAACTAATGTGTAAAGAAATCTGCTTAAAATTAATTTTTAATATTATTTGCAGTTATATAACAAGTTATTAGTAGGTATTAACAATAAAATAAAATTATATGTTGTACAAAAAGTCACAAAATTCTAAGAAATTGTGTCATTATATAGATCATTGTTTTTCGAATTGAAATTCAAAAGCAGTCAAAATGGGCAATCTATTGTTAATAACATATAATAGACCACTCGGCTGTCATAGTGAAAAACTGGAATTCTCAGTGGCAGTTGATGCTCACACAGCTTCAGCTTAAGTAGGAAGTAAAGGCGGCCTGTGCATAGTGCTGACTACACTGCCCTTGGTGGCTCCGTGACCCCTGGCCCACAATGAGCTGATGAATGCTTTATTTTTTAATAACATAATTTATATTTGAGAAAATAATAATATCAGTTTTAAAAAAAAACTACGTTTTTCAAGTGGTCTAAAAAGGAATGCGTCTATCAATTCTAAAGAAGTACTATAGGAAAATTTTCGGTAGTGTACGAAAGTCACGTGCCTTATGTTCTTAAGTGACTTTCTCCTTTCTTAAATGAACTTAAATTTAAGATAAGGAACTTTTCTGTCAGATGGAGCACAAAACCCATTAATTAATTTCTTTTTCTACAAGAGGTCAAAACAAAATATGATATTACCCCACTATAGTGGGAAAAGCCGGGTAAGCATGTTAACCCCAGGTCTTACCCAACTTGTGGGGGCAAGACCGGCTATGACAATGAATCTGACAGTTTCTAGGTCAAACAATTTAGTTCCAAGAATCCTTCGAATCTTAAATAACCGGTCTTACCATACTTTCTCTATGTACATCATTCTTGAAAAGTCATAGATATATTACTTTTTCTATAGATGATTTATTTTCCCCTAGAAAAGGTCAAATCACCCTATTTTACCCCACTAACCAAGTCAAGATTTTTGATGGTTTTCCATTGATGAACTAACATAATCTTGATGGTAACCATCAATAATTTCATCATGAACCATTATGTTTTTTGTTGGTAACCAACATAGGTAACCATCATCTCAATGTAGGAATTCGGTCTGATTTATGATGGCCCAACATAAGAATAGCAACTTGTTTTGATGGTTTTTTCATGATGAACCATCAGGAATTTCCATCATAGTGTCTTAGAAATCCAATGTTGGAACGATCATGAACAACCACCATCCCAATGTAGGAATTTAGACTGATTTATGATGGTCCAACATAAAAAAAACCAAATTATTTTGATGGTATATTCGTGAGAATCAACAAGAATTCCCATTAAACCATCATGGAAATGTATAGTTGGAACCATTTATGAACCATCACGGATTGTTGGTTCTTGAGATTTAAACTTCTCTTGATAGTAAACCATCATAGTATTAAAGTAGCATTTTCCATCAAGGAATGATGGAAGTTCGTTGGCATATCAAAACCATGAACATGTAAAGGAAAATGTTGGATGATGGTGACCCTCAAATGATGTTGGACCATCACGAATAGCATTGAAACTTACATAAACCATTAAAATTTTTTAATGGGACCATCTAGAATTTTGATTTGGGTAGGTAGGTTGATTGATTTATTGAAATTACATACATTTGCTGACTTGTGTGCTCAATATATAGGCTTATAAGTCATTGTCAAGTAGAAAATACAGATAGAACAATTCAGAGAAAGACATCACAAAGAATACATCCAGGGTTACGGCGGGATTCGAACCCGCTACCTCCACGCTTAACAGAGCGTTTGGACCGGCGATACCGCTCGGCCAGGGAGGCCCCTGGTAGGTAGGTGAGACCAGGCACATACGTTAACTTTGTAGAAAATTCTGAAATACTAGAATTTCTGAACAAATGTAGCAGACATTTCTATTTCACGTAACAATTTAAGAAAATTAGGAATGTAATTTACATGTGATGTAGTCAAGACCGTACTCAAGGGTGGAGAGGAGTAGCAATTGTTCTGGGACTACCCTAGGGGCAAGAATCTACCTGAGAATTCAACCGAAATTTCTTATAAAAAATAAAGAGGTTATTAATTATTTTTTTAGAAAATTATGGACAAATTCTTTATATCTATGTATCTGCAATTTTGTGTGAAGAGGTTTTGAAAATGCAAAATATGAGAAGAGTGCTTTTTGTACGAGAAAGGAGGGAGCAATGAAGTTTGTTCTGGAGTTACCTTCTTACTACAACTTTCGCGTGCCTAGCAGAGACAGACATGAGAAGGTGCAAGCTCAGTTAAGACCAGGCCTGAGATGATAAGGTTACCTGAGAGCAAAGGGTATCGAAACGAAATAGAAAAAAAGTTACTATAAGACAAAATCCTTATTGTTTTTTAGGATAAGAATCTTTAGTATTTAGAATCTTTAGTATAAACGTATCACAAGTTGGATTAAAAATAATTTGTAAGACTGTAATGACTTATGAATAATGCTGCAATGACCTATAAAATAAGTACGACTTAAATGTATGTTACAGTGAATGGCAGAAATGGGTGGTTGTTAACTTCCGCCGGTGAATGTTGACAATCACATAGTAGCTTTGGTAATTGTTCGAAGTATATACTAGGTCTAGTTAAGTGCCTATGCCCCCCCCTAAGTGTCCTGCCCCGGAATACCCCATGCTAATTTTTTTTAAGTTTCAGCGTCGCTGCCCGATGTACATTTGCCCGGTACTCCGTACACCGATGTTTCTCCTAATCTATCCTTAGCAAACATTAAAATATCGAATAAATGTAATAATATCGACGAATAAATTAATATCAAATCGGATATAAAAAATATTTCGGACATTCACCAAAGCGACTATGTAATTGTTTTTTTTATAACCGTCGTTGACCAGCCGACCCAATTTTTATGGGATCATGACTACTAATGTTCAAATGCGTAGCCTTCTCATTTTGAACCCAATTCAGAAGACAAGGGAACTCCTGGATCAAGTACTGGGAGAAATTTGCCTTTGTGGAGGACTTTTTGATGGAACTAACTAGCATTTGCGTTAGATGGAGAGAAAGACCATGAGAACCTCTCATGGTTAGCCTGACGGCAAGGGGACTCCAATCTATGATCCGTCTACCACTGAGGATATATCACGTCAGCAATGTGGTTGCTGCAAGACAGATGAGAAATTAGTATCGACTAGCCATCGCGGGGATTCGAACCCGGTTCACCTCATTGGAAGGCGAACGCTCTATCCCCTGAGCCATCGCGGCTCAGTATGTAATTGTTTTATTTTATTTTTTTATAACCGTTGTTGAACAGCTGACCCAATTTTGAGTTTACGACTACTAATGTTCAACTCCGTAGCCTTGTAATTTTGAACCAATCCAGAAGACAAGGAAACTCCAGGATCAGTACCCGCAGAGGTATGATTTGTTATGGGAACATGGAGGACTTTGAGACTAGACAGAATTTACGTGCATCAGTCACCGTTTACTACACGGGGAGTCTTCGACCGGCAGGGATCGAACCCACGACCTCTTGGACATGGGCCCAATGCCCTACCAACTAGGAGTATGTAATTAACTTTCACCGGTGAAAGTCGACATTCTCTTGATTTTGATCATGCATGGAAACATATATACAAATAACCGATTCATACTAGGTCCGCACTGTTATTTCTCCACCTTGTTTTATCTAATTTTCGACTTCTACCTGTTTTCTTTAACAGATTTTTGACATTTTTAACAAAACAAATACTAAGAGTTGTTAGCATAGAACAATATTATTCCGTAATATGTTATATGTATTCTGAATAATGTAATTAAAATTAAATATGTACTTTTATTTCTTCCGCAGGATTTGGTTTCGCTTTCGAAGGTCTTCTTTTAAATTCAATTACCATGGAACACTTTGAAATAAATTTCTCAAAAGCATTGGGGATAACAAATGCTGGAGCTGTTCTTGGGATCTGCTACTTTTCTCCATACGTTGATTTTTTAGTGAACAGTTTCGGTCTTTCAGGTGCCTTCTTGCTCCTGGCTGGAGCAACCTTGCACTCTATTCCAGCCGCACTTTTCATGCTACTAAATAAACCAAATGAACAAACAAAACTCTATGCGAACAACATTGCGAACGTATCCAAGGAATATGATAAAATAACTGAAAATACCAACGATCAGAAAGGAACTAAAGACAATGCAGGCATTTTAAATTGCGCCACTTCGCATCAAAGTTGTTTTGGTAACCAACAAAATGGTTCGATTAAGGACATTTATTCGGAAAGGAATGGTGGCGACACAGAACAGCGGGTCAAAACAATTGCCTATAGAGTTTATAATTCGGAAGCATTTGAAACAAATTGGAATAAACCAAATCAATGGATTGATGTTCCACTTTACTCTAAAAATGGCGCACTGAAATTTGACACTAAACCGGATTCATTTCGTCATTTTGAAACCCAGTTGCCTACAGACAATCAGCCACAGAAACTCGAGACAAACCAGATGATGAAAACTCTTTTTTGTCATCCAATCTTTTGGCTGATTTTGATATGCAATGGAATGCATTATTTCACTCTACCGGCGTTTTTCACTCTTCTCATAGATTATGCTATAGACATCGGTATGGACCCAGCTAATTCACAATACATTGTGATGTACTCACAGATGGCTGAATTCGTTGGCTGCCTTGTGCTTGGCTGGTTGGCGGATTTGAAGCTGGTATCCAGCCACGTGTTTGCCATTACATTATTTTTGTGCCAATGTGGGGCTTTGTTACTCATGCCTTTGGCTCATAATATCGTTTTTCTGGCCCTGGTAGTTCTTGTCTTTCAATGGACACAGACAGGGTTGTCGTTGATCTACCCTTCTGTGGTTTCTGATTCTTTAGAAAAGGAAATTCAGCCATCAGCGATGGCTTCAATGTTTATCTTAGCTGCACCTTTAGATTTGGCCATTTCTCCATTAATAGGTAAGTTGCTTTTTTAAATCACAATATTTTTTCTTTATTTACTAATACAATACCCTTCTCTTAATTCAAGTCCCTTAAAGATTCTGTAAGTACAGAAAATCGTTGGGGACTTAGCCATGTGGGTAGCGCAGAAATCAACATGGCCAACCTTCATCTATCAAAAGGTACCGCAAGATAGGATCCAATTAACACGTCGTACTTGTGAATTGATGTTTAATAATCGTAGTGATAGTTACGCCATAATACTCAACCAGAATTTTATCTAGGATAGAATTCGATTAACGGATACCAGTACTTGCTGTATTTGAGAAAGACCGGGAGAGCTGTATTAAGTTCACCGAGTTTTGAGCATTTGTTATGAGAGCTGTATTAAGTTCGCAGTAGTGTGTGTGGTCTCTCCTGTATTGCTATTAGCAGTCGTGTGTGTGCAAGATCTCGTTGTGTATAAATAAGATTGAGAAGCAACAGAGCGAGGAGGGTCCTGATGCAGTTACAAATAGCAACATAACTGTATCATCCCTCGATGTAGGCGTGTCTTAATCGAAGTGCTAATCGAGGTAGGTGAGCTAATATCTCGCTGGTGCCGCCAATGTGGGGAAAATAGAAATCGACAATGTCAACATTCATCAATCAAAAGGTATCTCAAGAAAGAATAGAATTTACACGTCTTATTTACTTGTGAATTGATGTTTAATAATTGTAGTGATTTTATTTTTGAAGTTATACTTCTTATGCGACTTCCAGCAAGGTTGCGTTAAACGTTNTTTTTGTTTTCAAATTTAGTGGATAACAATAGTAAAAAATGAGTGAAAACAATCCCACGGACCAAGCGACAGATTTAAGGTTATGTCAAGGTACGTCTATTGTGAATATCAATTGATTGTTAGATTTTCTCTTCTGAAATTACATTATGACGCATTCACATACATTATTAATACAAATACATTTTCCAGGGCGAGACGATGAGGCAACCACAAGCTTTTCCACTGGTTCAAGAGGTCCAAAGGAAAAATGCACAATATTACCGTGATTACAGTGCACGGAAGCGAGCGAAGCAGGGAAACGAGTCGTTGAATAGAACTAGTGATCCTTCTACGACTGCCGATTCTTCTACAATTAACGTCGCTGGTTGCGAAGTTTAACTTCTTCCGCGCGGGGGAACTCCACGCACTTTTTTTTTCTTCATACTATTAATTTGATTTAACTATTTATTTTAGACAATTTATTTTTCGTACGCTGCAACCACATCACTGTGATCTGGGCTACATGGGACATATAAGTCGCGCTTTAAAATTTAGATTAAAGAAACACGATAGATGTGATTGCGATCAATCATTTATTGCAGTACGCCATTCAAACTTTAGGTATAAATTTAATTTTTATATTTTTATTTAAATTTAATTTTTTAATTTTTTTTATTAATATTTTAATTTTTTAATTTTTTAAATTTATTTTAGGTATTAATTTATTTTTCTTTCCACTTTTGTCACATCAACTCATCTTGAATCTCTGTAATCCTGTTTCATTCATTATGGATGCCAATTCCTTTGTTAACTACAGATTTCCCAAAGCGCGTACAAATGCATCGGCCACAGCGGTTTTTCTAGTTTTTTTCTCTTTTATTTATTTTTCATTCTCCCTTAGCTACTTTACATTTTTTGTTTCACTCTCGGCTACCGTGTTTTTTTCTAATTTTGTTTCTTAATTTATATTTGTCTTCCATTTTTTTTTTCATTTGCATTTTCCCATTTCTTTTTTCAAATCTTTTTTGTTTTCCTCATTCACGTTTACACATTAAGTTTCTTTAGTTTTTAAGCAAACAAGTTATTATATTATCAAGTTCATTTTTCCACTTTAGGTTCATTAAATTATTCATTTAAACTTGTCTGCAACCTTTGGAAGGATATTATTGATCCTAACCAAAGCACGATTGTCAAAAATTACTACAATCAAGTAAAGTTCTCCGGTATTTATCACTTTTGGGGGTCTTCAAAAGCTGTTACCGCAGTATTTATATTAAATACCAATAATACTATATTTCTTACCTATCAAAGTTGCACATATTACCAAAATAGCAGTAATATCTACTTTAAAAATTAATTAAGCATCAATAGCGTCTAAATAGTATCGCGATATTTTATGGGTCATAAAAATTTTTTTCTATTAATTTTTCTCTTCGTCGCTCAAATAATTTGTTGTATTGCAATTACGAGGGTTGCTATTTATATTTCTGGCCTTGGCAACAGTAAGTGTTGCTAGGCGACCGCAGACGATTTTAATCGAAAGTTTGATATTTTTAAACATAAATTCAGCAGACGATTTACCATTATAGCTTCATTTGTGTTGTTGACAGTAAATTGAAAAGTTCTTCTCTTTCAAAAAATGGAATTGAATCGTGAACATTTTCGTGCCATTATTTTTCATAACTTTCGACGTGGATTGTCAAGACAAGAGTGCTTCGATGAACTTAATTCTTTATTCAGCGATAAAGCGCCATCCTACAGCACTGTAAAAAATTGGTATAACGAATTTAATCGTGGTCGATGTTCGATCCAGGACGAATCCCGTGCAGGTCGTCCAAAATCCGTTGTTGTGCCAGAAAAGATCGATGCTGTGCGTGAACTGATAAAGCAAGATCGTCATGTGACATACCGTGAGATAGAGGCGTCTTTGGACATTAGTATGACTAGCATCAATAAAATATTGCATGAACATTTGAGCGTAAAAAAAATTTGTTCGCGTTGGATCCCGCATAATCTGACAAACGCTCAAAAAAAGGCTCGTGTCGATTGGTGCAAGGAAATGTTGGAAAAATACGTTCAAGGTACATCAAAGGCTGTGTATAACATCTACACAGGTGACGAATCATGGATCTATGCATATGAGCCGGAAACAAAACAGCAATCAACTGTATGGGTCTTCCAAGACGAGGCAAAACCAACAAAAGTTGTTCGAGGAAGAAGCACATCGAAACAAATGATTGCCTGTTTCTTCGGCATTAACGGTCATGTGGCAACAGTGGCGTTAGAGCAACGCAGGACGGTCAATTCTGAATGGTACACGACCATTTGTTTGCCAGAAGTCATCGGAGAAATTCGAAAAAAGCAGAAGAACAGGCGAATCATTCTTCATCATGACAATGCGAGCTCTCACACATCGACTCAAACAAAGGCATTTCTGACGGAGCGAAAGATCGAACTGATGGGTCATCCGCCGTACAGCCCTGATTTGGCACCCAATGACTTCTTCTTATTCCCACACATCAAAAATAAATTACGTGGACAACGATTTTCGACCCCCGAAGAAGCGGTTGATGCATTCAAAACGCATGTTTTGGAGTTACCTCAATCGGACTGGAAAAAGTGCTTTGAAAATTGGTTCAAACGCATGCAAAAGTGTATTGATCATCATGGAGAATATTTTGAAAAACAATAAAACCAATTTCGATCCTACATGTTTGTTTTTTCATTATTAGGCCAGAAATATAAATAGCAACCCTCGTACCATTGATTTTGAATTGTTTATTTTGCAGAAACATGCTTCAAAGGTATAACTTATAAACAAACTAATCAGTTGGCCTCAAATAACTAATTCGTCACGTAGTCCACCAATGTCATTCAACTTGATCCTGTGCTCATGTGACATATCGGATAAAAGTACATAGTTAACCATATTAATAAATAGACAAAAAATAGACAACAATGTTAATAATTTTATTTAAGTTATTAAAAATTTATTTTATATCCGTCGCTGAACAAACGACCAATTTTGGGTTTACGATTACTATTAATGATCAAGTCCGCAGCCTTGTAATTTTTGAACCAATCTAGAAGACAAGGAAACTCCTAAATCAGTACCCCCAGAGGTATTGATTTGTTATGGGAACATGGAGGTCTTTGTGACTCGACATATTTAACGTGCATCAGGCACCATTTACTACACGGAGAGTCTTCGGACGGCGGGGATCGAACCCCCGAACTCTTGGACACGGGTACAGTGCCCTACCAACCAGGCTTGTTCATAAGTCCTTCCTGAACAAACTAATTTAGATTTTTAAATTATTAAGTTTTTTAAATTATTTGGATTTTTAAATTATTTAAATTTTTAAATTATTTAGATTTTTAAATTATTTAGATTTTGAAATCATTACTAATTTAGATTTTCTAAAAAGAATAACTGTGTAATTTCATAAAAAATATACTTTTCATAAAAAAATATATTATGGCTTCTAAAAATTGGTTCTGGAACCTGAAAATTTTGTATATTGCTATTACAATTTTCTTTTTTTTTCTCCAGGTTTCTTTCGAGATGAGAGAGGTTCTTATACTGGTGTCTACCTGACTCTTTCTTTGGCTGCGTTTATTGGAAGTTTAAGTCAATTGTGTGTTTTAAAATGCGTCAGTCGTAGAAAACTATCAAATAAAAAAATTTATCAAGGATAGCCTGATTGGGGAAAAATATATTCTGAGGTATCATTTAGCGAAAAATGGCAATTTTTTGGCAGCAATCATGCTTATGTCAAGGTGTGTTTAAGAAATGGCGTCAATTTACAAAAAAGACATAAACTTAAAAACATAGCAAAACATTATAAAACATAACATAACAGTATAATTAAGACATAAAGGCATAACGAGATGTATAATAAGCTTTTCGGATTGCCATAAATGAAGCAACCTCTTGCCTTCGGGTGACCAATTTGGCGATAATTCAAAAAAAAAAAAATGACCGCCTTATGACGATAACTGGTTATCCATTTGTCAAATGCTTTTTCTTTCTGGATTGACTCCGTTAAACATCACATATCAAATCATGGATTGCAAAAACTGTCTCCATTGATGTTTGTCTTCGCATTGGTTTTCATATTCTGCCCATGTACGTGCTTCAAGAAGTCAAAAAATACTTCATATTTACATTAAAATCACCATCAAGCCAGTAATTATATGTTAATAATAAAAAGAATATAAAATTACTTTAAATTATTATTATGTGAATACACTAAAAATGGCTGCTAGTGAAAATAAAAAAATACTAAAAAAATGATCAAACAGTAGCGGTAGTCATAGCAATACAGACGCATGCGCACTGTTTACTATTACTCTTGAACACAGTTGAAGAGTGTGATGACGTCCAAATAAAGTGAGCACGCCATCAATCCCAAAGCAAGACCCCTTTTGCCAATGGGTAAAAATAAACTGAAATAAAAATAAATTAATAAATAAAAGAGAAATGTTCGAACCATGCGTCAGTTGATTCACACTAACTTTTCATATAATTCCTATAGATAACTAACTATCTTAGAGGGCTACGACCAGAGCCAGATTATACCTTTCGTAGGCCCTAGGCACAGCCGTTTTTGGGCCCTCCCCTACTTTCCCCACNATCGAGTTTAATTTTATTAGTTTTCGTAAACGTAAACACAAACCATGTATAAGCTATCGGCTGAAATTGTTCGTATGTTTTCGGCGTACTCCCGTGTGATACAAAGGTACCACAAGCATGCGCGCATATACTTTTTCTAAAGTAATGGGGGTACAAATTGGCATCACAGACCAGCACTCGTGTTTGCTGTTCTTTCCCTTTTCGGTTCTACATATATATGCGAACAATCTTTTTCAAACATGAACAATATCAAGTGTAAACTGAGTCGTCTTATTGATGATAACTTGGAATCATGCCTAAAATTAAAAACAACAACATACAAACCTGACTTACTCAAACTTTCCAAGGAGATGCAAGCACATTGTTCGCATTAATAAATATTTATTAAGTATGAAATTTAGTTTTATTTAGTGTACTACTTATTTAGTGCAATAAAAGTTTACTAAACAAGCAGATTTGGCTCCCAATTTTTTATAAATTGCTGTAATGTTCATATTTGGCTCTTTGGCTAATAAGTTTGCCGACCACTGCCCTAGGCACGTGCCTAGTGTGCCTATAGGTTAATCCGGCCCTGGCTACGACATATGGGGTGGCATTCTCTGATTGGTTAAAAGCCAAAAAATTCCGAAAAATCTACATTTCCTCTTAGACTTAACATAAGGTCATTGACAAGGTATTTTTTTTCTGGCGAACTCTCAAAATTATAGACATGTATTTTTGTTCTTGTATTTAAAATTCATCTTAATTATTCAAAGTATTTATTACATGCGAAAATAGTGTTTGTAAATAACAATTTATTTTGTTAAATAATTTGAAAAAAAAACAATAGCTCTACTTTGCACTTTTATCAAGTTATTTTTACTAATATATTCCACATAAACAACAATTTAATAAGTGAATAGTTTAATAAATCGTTTTCTGCTGAAAATTGTTTAAAAAAATTAGGAAATCTTTGAATAATTAATATGCTACGTAATATAAAATTCTTATACTATTATTGAAAAATGAATCTGAATCTTAATGCGTGATGTTTTTCACTGTATATTTCTTATTATTGAAATTATAACAAACGAATGTAAATAAATAAATAAAATATTGTTACTATTTGTTTTCTCTTTATTTAAACTTAATTTCCCGAATTGAACTACGTAAATATTTTTTAAGGCAGTACGTATTCAATACATTCAACAATATGCTAATTTTTCAATAAGTTGTCTCAATTTTGAGAAAATGACTACAGTCCCGTGCCAATTTATTAGATGCACTCTAAGATTCTATGTAAAATCTTAATTATCAGGTCATACTATGCAACTTTATTGTTTTTATGCGACTGAAACCGGTTTGCACTGGTTTACGTTCGTGTATCAATTGGTTAAATTAGACGATATGTAATGTAAATTAGGCTATTGGGCAACTTAGACGATATATTATATAAATGTAGAATATTTATTATATCAGGTATTATATTAGTATATTATAATAATTAGACCAAATTAAAAGACACATTGTAGTGTTTTAATAATGACATGTTTTGCAAGAGTTTATAGGCAATTCTTTTTTATTTAAACATACATGTCATGGGTTTTTATTCAGGAGATTTTTCACGTATACTTCCTATTTGAATTTATTTCGAACGTATTGCATTACAATGTTAACCAATTCATACACGAACGCAAACTAGTACAAACCGGTTTCAGCCGCGAAAAAACAATAAAGCTGAATAGTATCACCTGATATAACTCATTTTTCGTTCATTTTAAAACCCTAGTTCTCAATTTTTTTCGTTTGTTTATTTTGTTATTTTTTCATTTTCTCTATTTTTTTTTTATACGAGAGAGTGGTCGAAATATGCATTAGTAATAAATTTTGCTTGCATCATTACAGAATGTATTCTCCCCAACCACAGAGCTCCAATTGAAATTTAAGCACTTAAATTATTTGGAAAGTGGTCAAAAATTGCAAATGGCGGCATATTTCATTCGATGTTATGAATTATGCTTGTTAATGTCAAAATAAATTCTTTCTAGAAATAATGTGTGACTATGAAATTTACTTATAGTAGCTAGGAGATGATTGAAACTAAAAATGTCATTCAGTACAGACGTCCAGTTAAAATATAAGCACTCTAGCATGTCAGACAGCTGTTAAAAGGAAAATCATCGAAATTTTTATCATCTGTAATCCTTATTGTAAAAGCGAGGAAGCAATTTAAACTCTTATTTCGGCCAGGCACAGAGATGTAATTATTATGTGAGTACTCTAGTTAGTCTGAAAGTGATGGACATTTTGAATGATAATATATTCTCTTTGACAGACATATCGCATTAATTTGAGCTGGTAGCGTTCAGGAAGTCTTGTTGCTTCAGCACAGTTTGGATTGCTCTAGCTTGCCAGAAATTGGTCGAAATTTCGAGTGGGGAATTTCATCGACAAGAACACGAGAGCGAGTTAATTTTAGTAAAATTATGTTTACTAAAATAGAAAATGTATTTTTATTAATACAGTTTTTTTTATTTAAGTCAATAAATGTGCTTAAAAATAAAAGAAAACTTGTACGTATCTGAGAAAATTTATCAATAATTATTGTTTCAAGCAAAATGTGCTTTGCTTTAATGCCATGAAAATGGTATTAGCTTTAGTTTAATCATAAATATATATTTAACTCAAATTCTCAATCCTACTAAAGAAAGATTAAAAAATTCGCTGTTAAGTGAAGACTTTACAATAAGGAGGAAATAAGAGATATTTCAAAGATGTATCGCCAAGCATGGTAACCTAGTCAGCTATCTTTCACAATCCTAAATTTGGATACTTGCTGTTGATGTCACGCGTGGGTCAGCCAATCAGATTCGATACACGCTTAATGTTGCTTGCAGGGATCCAATTAAATCTGATCTGAAACTCGATTTAGCATAATAATTAACCCAAGCATTAAAGTTGTAATGTAAATAATAGAAAAAGGTCCTTTTAATTGGGTATACTATAGCCTACGTCACAGGTCGTGTTATTCCTACTAAATTTAACTAGTAAACAGAATTTTCTGCGAACCTTATTTCTAGCAACAAGTAAACATTAAAAGAAGTGTGTTGTTATAAGTCGTTACTCGGCAGGTTGAAATTTATCTAGTTCCTTTTGAAATAATTTATTTTGTTGTTTTATCTAAGTTTATGAATTTAGTAAACATATTTAAAACTCAGCTTATTAATTAAACTAAAAGGTAAATGTTATTCCAAGTAAACTTTTCGAAGTGGAAGTAGTTGCGTTTTTTTCATATTATACCCATTTGGGTATACTATAGCCTACGTCACAGATCGTGTTATTCCTACTAAATTTAACCAGTAAACAGCATTTTCTGCGAACCTGATTTCTAGCAACAAGTAAAAGTATCAAACGAAGTGTCTTGTTTATAAGTCGCTACTCGCCAGGTTGGAATTGTATTAGTCTAGTTCCTTTGGAAATAATTTATATTGTTGTTTTACCGAAGTTTATGAATTTAGTAAGCATATTTAAAACTCAGTTTATTGTTGTTGTTGTTGTTAATTTACGTTGCACTAGAGCTGCACAATGGGCTATTGGCGACGGTCTGGGAAACATCCCTGAGGATGATCCAAAGACATGCCATCACAATTTTGATCCTCTGCAGAGGGAATGGCACCCCCGCTTCGGTGGCCCGACGACCTGAGCGCGAAGTCGAGCACTTTACGGTAGCACAGTTTAACGAGGACCAATACCGCACACCCTTGGTCCCTACGCAGGCTGATCCAAGTGGTCACCCACCCGCACACTGACCGCAGCCAGTGATGCTTGACTTCGGTGATCTGCTGGGAACCGTGTCTTAACGATCAGTCCACTGCGGGACCTCAGTTTATTAATTAAACTAAAAGGTAAATGTTATTCCTAGTAAGTGGAAGTAGTTGTGCTTTTTTCATATTATACCCAATTAATGAAAATGAAAGGCGAAGGAAAAATGGCTGAAGAATCGACTGATTTCATTTATTTGCATTATAAATAATAATGATTTAAAATGTGATAAAGTTTAATTTCCAATTCTTGTTACTAATTCTAATTTGATTCTTCTTATTCATATTTGTAATCTGAATCCGATTTTGCTTCGTTTGCGTTCTTGTTACGCTGTCTTGTCAAAATAAAATTTTTTTGTTATGTTATGTCTTAATTGTTAACTGGATCCTTTAGCTGCATACCTTATGATGTCATCCCGTCGCTGAAAGTACCCGTTGCTTTCGGAACAGGATAAGATTTCATAAAAGATACGAATTATCTGTTACTGATTTTGTATGTATTATTCATCTTTATCCTTTTGAGTAAAAAAAAATGACGATATACGCATTTTAATTTAAATGAATAATTTTGCGTAGTTGAAAGGAAAGAAAGGGATTTATTTATGATGGTGTAAAAATAGATTATGATAATTAAGAGTGCATTTCTTAATGGTAAATTGTGATCACTGTAGCATTGCATCCTTGCTTTTTTTCAGGAGTTTCTGGTGTGATAAGATTTGATAAGAAACTGTTTCCCCCCCATCCTATGTCCACATGTTTTTAGGGGCTATATATTCTATTCCGAGGACTTAATAAATAATTAAATTTTATCTTTTCAATGTTTTAACAAATTTATGCAGTTCTGTGAAAAAAATGAAAGGCTTATCTTGAACTTGAAAGCTTGTGGCGCATTGTCAGCAGACTGGCAGTCCGGCTTAAAAGTTCAGAAGCTGTAAATAACTATGTTGACTATTTCAAAATGTTTCTTTCTTTTTTTTGATAAAATTTATTTTATCGGATTTTTCCTGTTGAGGTTTAATTTAGAAAAGTGATGTTTAAAAATTAAAAGAGGATGAATATTTGAATAAAAGTAAGTGATTGTTCGTTTTTCTCACTTTTTTTAGTGTCACCCCTGTTTTAGGTGTTTAGGTATTTAACTTAATGTTAAGTTTTGTTTTGTTGCGCAGAAACGATAAGACTTCGAAACTTAAAATTGTAACGTAAAACAGTAAGTAGAAAATTGCACAGGAAGTACGGGTGAACAAAAAAAATTTAGCTTTCTATAATTACTTTAAGAATTATTAACAGTTAAATATTTAGTAAAAAATACCATGAAGACCACTCTGCAGTCTACAAGAATGCAACTACAAAGTTATTTGATGTGCTGAAAAGTTAATTTTCACTTATAAACTTATTGACACGAGTTTCTTCTAATTTGTTAGAAAGTTATTGTAATTTTAAGTACTTTTAAGCGGAATTTTCCCATTTGTTTTGCTTTAAATATGGAATATTTATCCATTATTGTAGAAAAATTTATCTCTCTCGAGATCTTCATTCGATGAGCTCGCAAATTTAATATTAAAAATAACGAAAAATAAATAAATACATATGATGAAAACAAAATAAGAGATTGGGTTATTAATCTGTACATTATGTATCGAAATTTTTAAAAATAGAAAAGGCTTAAGAGAGGTAAAAACTATAATCAATTTGATCTGTCATGTAATATAATATTACCGTTAGATATATCAGTAATAAATAAAATTATTTCTCATTTATTACTTTGTTTACTGTTGCACATTCTTTATTCATAAATTTTAATATATTGTTATTCTTTAAATACAGTTGACTAATCTTTAAATCTTTTTAAATTTATTTTAAATCTCTTTGAATTTAAAGTTTCTTTTGATTAAATCTCTTTTCAATTAAATATATTTGAAATGAATTATTTTTTAATTTGCGCACATTGCCTAGCTCAGGGGTCCCCAACCTTTTTGTACCTAAGAGCAAATACCAGAATATCGGTCCAATGGCGGGCACCATTTGTTTTTTCAAGCTAAATTTATATTTGGTATGGTAAACATAGGTAATAATACACACTACATATAATGCACAAAAAAATTAATTTTAAAAATTAATTTATCATATAAATATAATTAGTATTAATATCCTTTGGAAAATAAATGATTACTAAATTGTTTGCAAAACAATAAAATTGTAGTATAAAAATTATTTATAAATACAGTCAATGTCATCTTTGACATTGCATTTCACTGGCCAGAGCTTCATAATTGGGAGAATATGATGAAATTCCTGATCGCAAGCAATCGTCAAGGTGTTCATTTGTAAGTCGTGATCTATATTTTGATTTTATAATATTCATTGTTGAAAACAATGATTCACACAAGTATGTGGAACCAAAAAACGACTTTATTTCACATGCTGCTCTTTTTAAGAATAGAAATTTATTTCTGTCAACTATATTCCAGAATTTCTCATCTGATATAATAGTTTTGAGGATAATATCATTCTGAAGATCCAAAATTTCTATCTCCACTTCTTCTTGCCTCACTTGAAGAAATGTATGTTGTTATTTCGGTTACGTTTATTTGGTTGGTAAAAGGATTTACAAAAAAGGTGACCATAGGCTCGATGCTATTAAAATGTTGAAAGTGCTTTTCAAATTGATCTTGAAGTAATTGGAGGTTGACGACAAATTTTGATAAATCAATTTCACTGTCACCTATCATTTTTTTCATGTATGGAAAATGGGCAAGAGACTTTGTTTTCAAATGTGATATCCACAAAACTAGCTTAGTTCTGAAAGAGTTTATAGCCCCTATCATTCTTGCTACATGTTTATCCTTTCCCTGCAGCTCCAAGTTTAAATTATTTAGTTTTTCCATTATGTCTGTTACGAAAGATAAATCCGCTAGCCAAAGAGAATCGCTTAGCTCTAAAAATATTTTATTTTTGGCTGCAAGATAATTTTTTATTTCTTCAATTAAATGTATAAATCTATCAATTACTTTGCCTTTACTGAGCCAACGTACTTCAGTATGTAAAATGAGGTCAGCATCATCAGGATTTTGTAACAGGGCCTTGAAANGGGGACCCCTGGCCTAGCTTATCTGCAGATTAACTATGATGATTTTAAAGTGCGGAATCAAGTGTTTTCTGCCTTTTACCTAAATAGTGTGTCCGGTAAACATATTATTAAAGTCCAAAAGTTTGTTCCCGCAGTGGACTGATCGTAAAGATACCGAAGTCAGGCATCATTGGCTGCTGTCAGTAAGTGGGTGGGTGACCACTTGGATCAGTCTTATCTTGATCGGCCTGCGTAGGGACCGAGAGCGTGCTGTATCGGTTTTCGTGAAACTGTTCTACCATGAAGTGCTCTACTTCGCTCGCAGGTCGTAGGACTACTAAAGCAGGGGAGCCGTCCCCTCTGCAGAGGATCAAAATTGCGATGGCATGTCTTCGGATGTTTCTCAGACCGTCGCCAATAGCCCAACGTGCAGCTCTAGTGCGACGCAAATAAAGTACCTACCTATCTACCTATCAAAAGTTTGTTTTTCTATTTATTAGTTACATTTTTATTAAGCTTGATTGTTTAGATAATAAAAAATATATAAATAACATTATGTTCATTTTTTTGAATTTTAATAATATTTGTTCCGTACATTTCGCACAATTAACATATTAACAAAATGTGCTTGAAATAATTGTAATTACATATTTTATGAAAAATCTTATTATGAAAAGAAATATTGTTGAATGCGATGCAACCACGGTGGTTGCTGAGCAGAGCGAACTGGTGGCGGAACCTTCTGGTAATTTTTACTATTCCAAATTTTGAATGCAAAATAATCGAAACTCACTAGTATGAAATAGATTTTCTAAATAAAATATCAATGGAAACAGAATTTGGAATAAAATGCAACCAGTCTATTATTGAATGGGAAGTAGCATAGAAGGTACGTACCTTTATGTTGAATTTTACTGAAACATAGGGTGCCAGTTATGATCTTTTAAGTGCCTTAGTGGAATGAGCTTTAAATTTTTTTTTAATTGCGGCTCTTTTAAGTCACAGGAAATTTAATATCAGGCACGAGATGCAATGACAGCTGAACGCCAAGAAAGGGCTTCATAAAAATTTAAGATTTTATTTCCAAAATAAAAGTGAAATTTTGCGAGACCAAAATTAATATTCATTATATTTACGTTTAAATTTTTTTAAAAATTCCCTTAATTAAAGAAAACTAACTTGAAAATAAAGCATTGGATAAACTGTTAAGAAATTAAGAGTAAATAAAGGTTTAATTAGTAATTTTTATTTTATATGTAACTGTGGCAGTGTACATGTGTGTATGTGTATACACACAGTGACACTGAATGTAAAGTATAACTGTGACATGCATTTTAACTGTTTTCAAGCTTTAGTGGTAACATGTATAAAGTTTCATTGACATCCGACTGCTGGCTTAGACTCTAGGTCGGTCAAAGTACTTTAGTTAAAAAAAAAACTTTATAACTTAAAAGTTTACACCAACAGCTTCTGATTTTATTCCTTATAGAAACAATAGAGTGGTTTGTATATCTTGAAGGATGAAGGAATACGGTCCAGATAGCAAACAAAGTTGGCTGGTAGTGCTGGCCAGTTGTGTTATTAAGTTCATGACATATGGTCCGACAGAAGTGGCCGGAATGTTGATGGTCTACACTATGAGCAGATTCGACACTACACGTGAAGCTGCATCTCTACCATACACACTGCTCTACACCATTAGAAACGGATCAGGTTAATTTTTTATCCATTTCTTAAATTTCAATTTGCTGGTCTAGTGGTTGCTGTACTGGACTACAGGGCCAGTGGTTGTGGGTTCAAATCCCACCGTAGGCATGGATGTAACTTTCTCTCTGTGTTCTATGTCTATTCTTCTGTGTGATTGTGTAAACGTAATCCGTCCTATAAACGGGTTTGTGGTTGCATGACGTGGGCGACGCTGCCCCAATCCTGTGGTTTAGGCAGAGTAGCAAGTCTGTCATTTCTGAGGCAATTGAGATCCTAAGTGGCGACCATTAAAAAAAAATTTATTTTAACCATGTTTTATTACTTGTTATAGCAAGACTTTTTCAGAACACTATCAAAATTAAACAAACTTGAATTTTTTATTCTTTAAATTAAATTCACAGACTGCATATTTTATCAAAAAATTGCTCTACAGGCCTTTAATACAGGGTTCTGACTGTCATGGAAAATGAAAGAGAAAAAAAACTTAGATCCTCTTCCCAATTTTAGAGACTTTTCTCAATACTTCCAGTTCAAGTTACGAAGCCAGTATAGTTTGATTTGAAACGTGTTTTATTTATTTAATTAATTAATATTTCCAAAAATATGTGTCATATAATTCATAGTTTGAAATCCCAGTGTTTAGAGACACAGCTTATTTAGGTAATTTATTTTTACATAAACATCTAAAATGTATAAGAAACAAACACCGAAAAAAAAAGGATAAATAAAGGAAAAAGAAAGTTAGGTAATAAAGTAGGCAAAGTAGAAAGTAGTATTCAAATATTCCAAGGTTAAAGCCAATTTAAGGTTAAACAAGCTTAATTTCAGAGACAAGATTAAAACAAGTTTAAAACAAGGTTAAAACAAGTTTAATTTTAGAGCTATGTCATGTCACAAAAGGAGCGTAAAGGTGGACTAATCCTCATAATTTTTAAAATTTTCATTTCCATTTTTTCTTTAAAAATTTGCAAGTTTAAATTCTATTTGGTACCTTGGCGATTGCAGTTGGTGCGACAGATACGGAAATATCCCATTTTAGATTTTCCTTTATTTATTTATATCATTCAGATCAGCTGAAGGGTTGGGGAAATGCTATGATTCTTCTGCAGATGCATCATAGGATTACTACATTGAGGTTTAAAAATTGGAAAACTTCATTCTTCCTTCGGAATATGTCGAGAAATAAAACTTCTTTTACTCCAATAACGCCATTAAGGGAGAGTCAGCTTCGTGGATGGAATTAAGCATTGCCTAACATGTACTTCTCTGGCGATAAAGGGTTCGCCAAAGTGATAACAGGCACGTGCCATCTCCTATTTGTCTCAAATCATTCTTATATTTTTAAACTTAGGAAATAAAAGATGAGAAAAACTAAAATATCATTTTTTTTTCTTAAAAATTATTCTTTTTAAAATCCTTAAAGTACTTAAAAATTTCAGACGGGAAAGCAGAGGCCGAAAATTCAGAAAAATATGGTATAGCAACGAGTCACCTGCTCCTGAAAAATACATTCATCAAGTGATGCCAAGAATGCACGCCAGAAACGAGCAACCTTCTCTCGGGCACAGTTAAATAAAAAAGAATCATTATCTGGAAATCAATTAAAAGTTAAAATGACAACGCTGTTAAAATAAACAAAACTGAGTAAAGTAAGTTAACTTGAACAAAACATTTTACATTTCGATCAGAAAACTATTAAACTAAGTTCATAAAGTTGAGCGTTTGAAATTTCGATGCAAGTGTGATGCAGCAACATCCCAGAAGATAAGCAGATAAAATAATTTTTATTAATTTGTAGCAATATCAAAACTTGTCAGCAGATGGCAGATAATTCACCTCTCAATCAAAGCTTTTAAGCACAGCAACTGCCCTTGGGGGGTTGAGGTTTTCCTTGCCCCAGTCAACAGCTCGGTCCAGGGATTGCTTGAACGCTGACGCTTCATTAGCTTCGGCTTGCAGGTATTATGTTATTTTAATTTAATAAAATGTCAAGTTTATAAATAATTTTGCATCTAAACTTTATCTGACTCATTAATAACATAACAATGTTGACTCGGACATGATCTGAACACACTTTACCTCGACAGACACGCCCACTTCGATTTGAACACGCTTCCTTCGATTGATGGTCCACATTGAACAGTTGGCTTGCTATATGTGACTGCGATATTGACCTCGTCACGCTGTTGCTACTAAGTCCCGATCGCACATACCATCGGTCTGTATACACTCGACTGCTAATGGCAACACAGAAGCAACCATGACCGTGATCTTAATACAGCTCTCCCGGATACTCACACAACAGCAATAAATCAACTAGTGATATCGGCTCAGTGAATTCTATTACAAATAAAATTCTGGTGGGGGAGTAGTGTAGCGTGACTACCACTACTATTATTCTATTTAAATTCACTAGTATATAAGGCATATTAACTCGATTCTATGCTGAAGTACATTTTCATAGATGAAGGTTGACATTGTCATTCAGTTATACTTATTTTCCTAACTATTACATTAAAAAAAATTCCTTTAAATTCTTAACCTAACTTTGTCAGAATGGCAAACTGACAAAGTCTATTTATTGTTTTTATACTTTGCTCTTTTATAGGTCCTATAATTGCCTATATAGGCAATATAATAGGTCTTCGTTCAACAATTCTGTTTGGATGCATCTTATCCTCTACAGCAATCGGTGCTTGTTTCTTTGCTGAAAATGTGAAAACAGTAACTGTACTGTGGGGAATTATATTTGGTATGATATTAAACAATTATAATCGTATAAGTAATTTTTACAAACGATGAATCTTTTTAACCATCAGAAATAGATATTAGTATATTTTAGTTGAAAAAAATCATTATGGATTAATACTTTAATTATTTTTTTACAGGATTTGGATTCGCTTTTGAAATTCTTCTTCTCAATTCAATTACAATGGAACATTTTAAGAATGATTTATCCAAAGCGTTGGGAGTGACAAATGCTGGAGCTGTCCTTGGGATCTGCTGCTTTTCTCCATACCTCGATTTTTTAGTGGACAGTTTTGGTCTTTCGGGTGCTTTCTTACTTCTTGCTGGCGCAACAATGCACGCTACTCCAGCAGCCCTTTTAATACTATTAAATAAACCAGGTAAACGAATAAAACCTTATGCGAACGAGAGTGCGAATGTTTCTAGAGAATACGATAAAGTTAATGAGAATACGAACGGTCATAGAAGAAACGAAGAGATTGTAAACTGCGTGGACTCAATACAAACTGCCCATCAAAACGACTTTCATACACAGAAAAATGGTTCAAAAGACTGCATTAGCAGCATTTATCCCGGAAACTTCAAAACAGTTTGCAATGATACTGAACTGCAAGTCAAAGCAATATCCTACAGAGCCCATGGCATAGACGCATTTGAAATAAATAGAAATAAATCTAACCAATGGATTGATATCCCTCTTGATTCTAAGAATAACGAAGCCAAATACGATCATAATATGAAATCTATACGTACGAAAACTGAAAGTTCGACGAAGTGCTTCACAACTGATTCTGTTGTTGCACCCACACAGAAGCTTCACACAAACAAATTGATGAAAATTTTGTTTACCCATCCAATTTTCTGGTTGATTTTAATCAGCAATGGAATGCGTTATTTCGTATTACCGGCATTCTTTACGCTTCTTGTTGATTACGCAATAGACGTCGGTATTAATCCAATACATTCTAAATACGTAGTGATCTACTCAACATGTGTTGAGTTTGTGGGCTGTTTGGTACTTGGCTGGTTAGCGGATTTGAAGCTTTTGTCTAGTAATGGATTTGCAATCACAATGTTTTTGTGCCAAACTACAGCTTTGGCTCTTATGCCATGTGTACCAAATATTATATTTCTTGCCCTGGTGGTTCTCGTATTTCAGTGGACGCAGACGGGGTTGTCGTTGATCTACCCTTCCGTGGTATCTGACTCCTTAGAAAAGGAAATTCAGGCATCAGCTCTTGCATCGATGTTTATCTTGGCTGCACCTTTGGATTTAGCCATTTCACCCTTAATAGGTAAGAAAAACACTATCAGCTCTCTTTATTACAATAATTTAAACTTCTTTTCTATATTCAAAAATAGTATCCGTTGCCGCTGCCGTTATAAGTGTTCAACGGTACATTTTATACACATATGCAGTCGGGCTTCTATTTAACGTACCTCCATCTCGCGATGTTTTTNTTTGAAGCTTTTGTCTAGTAATGGATTTGCAATCACAATGTTTTTGTGCCAAACTACAGCTTTGGCTCTTATGCCATGTGTACCAAATATTATATTTCTTGCCCTGGTGGTTCTCGTATTTCAGTGGACGCAGACGGGGTTGTCGTTGATCTACCCTTCCGTGGTATCTGACTCCTTAGAAAAGGAAATTCAGGCATCAGCTCTTGCATCAATGTTTATCTTGGCTGCACCTTTGGACTTAGCCATTTCACCCTTAATAGGTAAGAAAAACACTATCAGCTCTCTTTATTACAATAATTTAAACTTCTCTCTATATTCAAAAATCGTAACAGTAGCCGCTAGGTCGTTTAACGACACATTTTGTTTTGTTGCGCAATGACTTGAAATATCGAACGAGTGTAGAAAAAATATCAAGCGAGTAAGAAGGAATATAAAAAATTAAAATTTGAAAATTAGTTCAAGATTTTATAATTGTTAGACTAGTAGAAAAATGTACCATGCAGGTCATTATGCAGTCCACGGAAATGCACCTGAATGACGAACCAAATGAAGGAATGCACCAAATGAAATTTGAAATGATGAAAGGGCCATTTTTATTTATGAATGGTACAGCGAGTCGTTTAGATCAGAGGTTCCTAATCTTTTCAGTTAAGTTTACCTAAATATCGTAAAAAAAAAATGAAATTAAAAAAAAATTAAAAACTTATAGGCCCACTAACTACCAAATATGCAAGAAAAAAAATACACAATCACTGCTCATAAACCTTTGAGTATATCATTCCACGGTATTAAGGCATATGTAACGCAAAAAAATTCTAAAATTCATCTTAAATTTGAGAAATTCCTTACCCCGTAAATAAAGCAAATTCTTACGCCAACTGCCATCATCAATGCATTAAAACCCTAGCAACAATTTTACCTTTGCCCCAGTTTGGCTCAATATTGGTCCTGTAAGAACATGCACCGAAGGACCTATATTGGGATGCCTGGATTTTTAAATATTGGTCCTATTTATACAACTAATATAGGGCATATATTGGCCAAATAATGACTATAAAATATTGGATGAATCTGACAATTCTATATAGAGCTTATACTGGCCAAAAAATGACTATAAAATATTGGATGAATCTGACAATTCTACATTGGGCCAGTATCGGAAAACAACGGCCCCTTAAACGCTCATTTAGACAAGATTCGCGATTATTGGACCCAAGTTATTTTGCTGATAGGGGAGAGTTGCCTCCAGATTTTTGTTGTTGAACAAAAAATAACATATCTGAATATAAAATTAAAGTGACTCGTAAAAATAATATATAAAATTTAAATGTGCGTCGTGACATTCATTTTAATTACTTGCACGTGACTGTTTCGTCGTCGTCACCAAGCAGTCCATTGGTCCACGTACCCTACCGTTATCCTGATAATAATCAATTATATTTTCTTTTTTTTCAGGTTTTTTTCGAGATGAGAGAGGTTCTTATACTGGTGTGTATCTCACTCTCGCTTTAGCTTCCTTTTTTGCATGCTTAAGCCAAATCTGTATTTTAAAATGCGTGAATAATAAGAAGCAGTCAACCAAAACATGATGAAACAAGAAGTGTGTATGACAGTTCGACAACTACTTTCCAGATCGGCACGTTTTCAGTGCCAGTTTGACAACAAGAATCATGTTTCTGTCGAGCAATTTTATGGAACAAGCTAACTTGTGTTTCAGCTCTTCACTTCACTTTTGAAACAACTTGTGCTCCAGCGACTATGTTACCGAAACTCTGCACCGTCTGATAGATTGTTTTTGTTCAGCTTTCGACAGTAAGAGAAGTGATTCCTGATTGCTCATCAATTTAGATAGAAAAAAAAAATCTTAAACTTATTCATTGGATCTCTTTTTTTGCCATATACTTCAGTCGTAAATCATGAAGAATAATTTGAAAATAATGTGATAATTGTGCTTAATTGAAGCTGCACGTGAAAGATTTTCAAGAAGACGTATTCTTAAAATTCGATTATTTTTTTTTCAGGAACTATTAGACCGAATTCGTTAAAATTTGTATTTTACCATGCAAAATTACTTTCTCCACAAAGATGTAAAAAAATATACCTTTCAATTAAATTTTTTTAGACTGTTATTTAATAAATAATAAATATTTACTAAAAAGTCGTTTTCTGCTTATAATTCTCTTTAGGTAAACAAATTTTATAATTGTGTGCAATATTTTTTTTTTTTTGATTTTCTTAAATTGTTCGTGAGATTTGACTTAATACGCAAAAATTGAAATTAACTGGTTCAAGCTTTGGAACACTCTCCTAGCCCAACTAATGGACCCACATTTCCCATATTGCGACTACCGTATTTTGCTTTATATTTTGGAGGTCAGCTATCCGAATTACTCAAAAAATTTTTTTTGTTTATTCTGAGAAAGAAGGTTTTTGTATCTGATTTCATAATTAAAAATATTGTCTGTTCAAATTAATTAAGATCCTCCATTCGAACCAATAGGAATGAGTTGACGTTATTCAGGAGGGTTTTGATATTATTTTTTTTTTCGCTCATAGTACTTTTGATGGACAGTTCACTTTCTTGACATGTACGTTTGCCCGTCAACTCAATTTCTCGACATGTAAGAAAGTTGAATATAAAATTGATTGTTGATAACTGTTTAAAATTTTCAATAAGATTGGGCTTCTTACAACAAGAAAAAGTAAGCGATATTTAATGACTTTTTATGTTGTAAACCTTTCCGTCTGCTTTGTGAAAGGTTTGGTACTATAGTTAATTCTGAGCCGTGATGGCTCCTGGACAGAGGGTTTACCATCCAATGAGGTGAACCGGGTTCGAATCCCAGCGATGGCTGATCGATGCGAATTTCGCATCCGGGTTGCACCGACCACAGTACTGACGTGAAATATCTTCAGTGATAGACGGATCATGGGTTAGAGTCTCCTTACCGTCAGGTTAACCTTGGGAGGTTCTCGTAGTCTTCTTCTCCATGTAACGCAAATGCGGTTAAGTTCCATCAAAGAGCACTCCACGAAAGCAAATTTCTCCCAATACATGATCCAGGTGTTCCCTTGTCTTCAGAAATGGGTTCAAAATGACAGGGTTACGGAGTTGAACATAAGTAGTTGTAAACCCGAAAAATTGGGTCGGCTGTTCAAAGGCGGATATGAAATAAAAATATAGTTAATTCTGGGCAGCATTAAATTTTCTTTTAATTCTTATCTTTAAATTTATTTTCAGTTAATTTTATTTATTTCCTGTTCTTTTGATTCTTCTTTATTTTTTATTCTTTTGTTTTAAATTTTATATTTATTCTCTTTGTTTTATAATTGGGTATTTGCACTTCAAGAGGAAGAAGATCACGAATACTCAAACATGTGACCTGTGAAGTCAGTTCCAGCTGATGGTTTGTAAGCAAAATGGCATGTTAAAGTTGAGCTAAATTTCTTCAAGTTAGGTTGTTAATTAACGTGAAGTTCATTAAATACACACCAAATTCGTTGAAATATAATTCTTTCTCGTCTGCGTCTGTACTTAACTTAAATTTATCATTTGTTTATGTCTTTTATTGTAACAATGATATATTTTTGCTTTGTGCACTTGGCAACGTCGATACATAATTAGTTTGTTTATATTCTACATGGCTTCATGTCTATCTTCGTGTTGAGTAAGAAATATATGCAGTGAAAGAATTGAAATCTTTGTGAAAGAATATAGAATGAGTCACTTAAGACAATTGATGCGGGTGGGTGACCACTTGGATCAGTCTGCGTAGGGACCGAGGGTGTACGGTATTGGTCCTCGGTAAACTGTGCTACCGTAAAGTGCTCGACTTCGCGCGCAGGTCGTCGGGCTACCGAAGCGAAGGTGCCATCCCCTTTGCAGAGCATCAAAATTCTGATGGCATGTCTTCGGATCATCCTCCGGGATGTTTCCCAGACCGTCGGCAATAGCCCATTGTGAGGCCGGGATAGCCTGGTCGGTAGGGCGCTGGGCCCAAGTCCAAGAGGTCGTGGGTTCGATCCTCGCCGGCCGAAGACTCCCCGTGTAGTAAATGGTGACTGATGCACGTTAAATCTGTCGAGTCTCAAAGTCCTCCATGTTCCCACAACAAATCAATACCTCTGGGGGTACTGATCCAGGAGTTTCCTTGTCTTCTGGATTGGTTCAAAATTACAAGGCTACGGAGTTGAACATTAGTAGTCGTAAACCCATTAAATTGGGTCGGCTGTTCAACGACAGTTATAAAATAGCCCATTGTGCAGCTCTAATGCGACGTAAATTAACAACAGCAACAACAAGACAATTGATACTTGACTGGTTTGGCTTACTTGGAATAGAATGGAAAGAACAGTTGCTAACGTAAACAAATGCCCAACCAATCAGTATGGAGATAACCCCACTACGTCACGTAATCCTGCTGAATAAAGGGATGCAGGATTTTAACTCATTTGCAGCGTGGGCCCCCTCAAGCCACCCCCTCTAACTTGTCTAAAATTGTGAGGCTTGGTGTAGATCTCTGGAACATTATAAAAATATATCTGACCCAGTTTCAAAATTTTAAATTTATATCAGAGAAAATATAGGTCAATGTGTATATTCAAAACATTAAACTCAGAACATGAGCGATGCCCTTCTGTAAAGAAAATATTGTCATTCAATTAGATCCCATTGAGCCCCGACTGAACTATCTATAGTTTTGTTGCAAACTATTTTTCATATAACAGAAGTGGTATGACAATTTCCCAAAATACCAACAATTTGAAATGTTTATGGAACATTTTTGTCCAAAACAGTTGCAGTTACCACACTTTGCTGAGAGGATTAAAATTCAACCGATTTCAACGATAGAAAATATTTATATAGAAGAGTATTAAAAAGAAATATTTCTTTTTGAAAAAAAAAAAATAATAAATGAGAAAAAATAAATAAGGTAAAAATAAATAAATAAATGAAGCCATGACTGAGCAAGCTAAGTCGTTATGTTACTCAGTTGCTGCGATAGATGGCGACACTTCTATCGAACAAAATATAAATTAAGGGGTTTATTGACATTATAATTCGAATCCAAATTCGTCCCCTATTTTTGGTAAGTTATACTAAACTTTTGTTACAATAAATGTATCTAAATTTCAAAACTATTGATTGCAATGCATGCTATTTTTTGTTGTTCTCTATAAAGTATGCTATTTCACATTTCTGAGGGGAAATGGAATTCCAGCATATTTCAGGGCAAGAAAATATAGATAAAGAAAAAGATTAGAAAAGTAATAAAATAAAGAGTATTTATTAAAAAAAAAAAATTTGCTAGAAAATTAAATCATTCACTGGTGGCCCTATATAGTAGGTGGTCTACATTACAGACATATTCGGTCAGCCCAAAGAATATTCGACCCATAAAATTATATGTCCCTATATATGGGATACTATGAAATAGGCCTTATTTTCTCAAATATTATGATGACCTATAATTTTAAAATTTGATTGCATTAAATTTTTTTTAGCTATACATAGGGTGAAAATTACAGAAAATTTAGGGACTGAACGAAAGATTAAAATGTTTCGTGTGTAACACCCATATTGATTAAGCGCGTGTTTTGAATGCATTACAGACTTTAAGAGTTTTGGAAAAAAATTGCATTTTTTTAAAAACGTTCCGTGAATATTTCCATGCATTTGTTGAGAGCTTTAGATCTTTGACGCCCTCTTTTTCATTTAAATAAAGCTTCGAATAATTCTTGTGGTGTAAAAAGATTATAAAAAAACATGTTAGTGAACTACCACAAATTTGCGGAGGAACTGATTTAGAATCATGAATCAGCCAGTGATTAAAATGCGTAAAGGTGAAACAGTGACGCCATCTATGAGAGTAAAACTCAACACTTATAGAAACAATTAAAAAAAATTAAGTTATGAAAAATATTTCATTTTGCGGCAGATGTTGAGCATGTCACATAATTACTTCATAACTACTGTCCACAGAGCCGGATTATACCTTTCGTAGGCCCTAGGCATAGCCGTTTTTGGGCCCTCCCCTCTTTTCAAAATATATGCTAAAATGTATATGCTAATGCAAATGTATATGCGAAATATATGCTAATATATGCTAAAAACTTTGTAGATGAATTTTTACTATTTTCAAATTTGTATGAACATAAATCTGCACAATGAATACTTTTCCAAACGTTCACATTGCATTAAGAACAAATTTGTCGATGCTTGGATCAAATGCAGAAGGAGAAAGATCTTTCTCCAGATTAAAATTGATAAAAAATTATTTGCGTTCAAGAATGAATCAAGATCGTTTGCATCGCTCGCCCTTATGTCCATTGAATACGACATTTTGAGTAGTTTGGAATTCGACAGCATAATACAAGATTTCGTTGAATCCAAAAATCGCAAAAAAGTAATATATTACATCATAAGATTCTGCAAAATAATTTATTACCGCAAAATATTATATTTTTATTTGTATCTTCATAATTTTGTGCAAAATACACTTGTTGTTTTTAAAGCTAAATTATTTTTGCCAACAAATTTTTTTCTCCCAAGTTTTTCGTAGGCCCCTGAATTTCGTAGGCCCTGGGCACGTGCCTAGTGGGCCTATAGGTTAATCCGGCCCTGACTGTCCATATTTATCAACCTTATTATAATCCATACTTATTTATTTTTCTTTTGGGTTGCTAAGTAACTAATGGTAACAGTTAAAATTTGGTAATAACTGAAGTTAAGTTATAAAATGGTGTTATTAAGAAACAGATGATAACGGCAAGAGCAATGATTTCACTGATCAATGAATTTCAAAAAACAAATAAATTTATTTTGTAAAAAATATTTCTTCAACGAATATTTTCACTATTTTTAAAACAAAACAAAAACATCTATTGTAAAAAAATATTTTTAATAACGTTTAAAGTAACGTTTTCGTGTCTGATTTCGTAACTTAAAATATCGTTTGCACTTATTTATTAGCATATTTAATGTTTGGCTCTGAAAGCACGGGAAAATCAGATCAAAAATTATTCAGGGTGTTCACTTTTTCATTTTGTGCACTGAGCATTCTAATTAATATCAATTACTTGTTTATCTGAACTATTTTATGATTATTA